CGATCCAGCCCTTAGCATGTCTCAGAGAGGAATAGGAAGGACTTGGGGAGCCAGAACCATAGCTACATCATCTGGGGAAGCCCCAAGCCTTGGAAGATCCCCAGGGGCCACTCAGACCCGGATTTCCGACCGCAGACACCCTGAGAGAAAGTGGTCTGCGGTCAGACATCTGCCCAGAAGCCACGGCAGGTGCAGGGCTGGTGTAGGGAGGGGGGATACTGTGTTTAGGGACAGCCCCTACTTTCCCCCTAAGACTTGGGGTTGTCCCTGGAGGAAACCATAGCTTTTGGGTCCTGTGTAGTGGACTCTCACAGCACATGTGCTGGGGAGGGAGCAGCTGCAGCCTAGAGTCCCACCTTGGCCTATTTATATTCCCCATGTTAATGGGAACCTCACCGGTTAGAGGTGGGTGTGGGATTTACACCCCAACTAGGGAGAAGCTAGGTTGAATTGGAGGCTTCCCATGGCCTCCCCCTGTATCCTGTATGACAGTTCTTGGGGGACCCACCCCACATTACTGTTCAATGCCTTGATCATCTACAAGGTAAGGAATGTGTGGAATTTATTAGTAGAATCTAGCTCTCAGCACCCAAAGTTGCCCTCACAATTTTTTGGAGTAGAAATATCCAGCCTGGAGATCCTTGAAAACTGATCTGATGATGTAAGTCAAACTATTATGTCATGATCACTATCTTGACTCTCTCTCTGTCTCTCCCTCCTTTTCATGATCATCTTTATCTCAAAACTCGAAGAGTCTGAGCTTTTACCCTCCTTGCAAGCTAAAACATAAGCTGGCCACAGTTTCTTGAATGCTAGTGAAAGACAAAAACTGCCTCAAAAACAAAGAACAGTTTATCACTCACAGCCAGAGCAGTTGCCAGAATTAATGTCTTTTTTTGTACTAGTTTCACAGGGTTATGCAAAGAGGACCAGGTGACTTCCACATGCTTGAGTTTAAGGATGCAATATCCTATATATAGGATAGCAAGCATGCCTGCCCTCTGTCCAAAGGGAAATATTATCTCTATGTTCCACAGCTGCTCACTGTATAGACATCTTTTTTAAAAAAAAGAAAACCAGAGGGGATGCAATTGGAACCTTTGCTCAAGCGACATGCAGAAATATAGGGATCTGTGGTCAATTTTTTCCTGGCAACCATAAATTATATCAGTGAAATAAAATTTGAAGCTATTTGCCCATTACTGCATTCCATGAAAGTGGTGGGACTGATTTTCACCAAATCTAGCAGGAAATTTCATATCTGACTCAAAACATGGGCCAAGCAACTCTTAACCAAACCACCAGAGAGGACCTTTTTAGACCTGCTTTAATAAAAAAAAAAAATCAAAAGGCTTAGTGCTGTAGGTCTGAACTCACAGTAAAAATCTTGAAGTACAGTAGGTAACTATGGTTAACAATTTACTGTATATTTCAAAGTAGGTAGAAGGTTTTGGTTTGTTGCCTTTTATTTTCTCTCTCTCTCTCTCTCTCTCTCTCTCTCTCTCTCTCTCTCTCTCTCTCTCTCTCTCTCTTTTCTAAAGATTGATATCTCACTGTGTTGCCTAGGCTGTTCTTGAATTCCTGGAATGGAACCACCCACCTGCCTCATCCTCTAGAGGAGCTTCGACTACATTTGCATGGCACCACACCCAGCTCAATACAACAGGGTTTGAATGTTTTCAACACAAAGAATTAATAAATGTTTGAAGTGATAAGGTTTGTTGGTTACCCCTGCTCTGGTCATTATAAATGGAATACTGCTCCATTAATATATATAATTATATGTCATTTAAAAATTAATATTTTTAGAAGATTTTTGTGACATAACAAACAACCTGAGTTGCAAGCATTTAACTATACTAGGATGTTTTTACAGCAAGAGAACAGAGCCTCATTGTAGTCCCCTGAGTGGTAGAATAAGGCCCTTTCACATCAGGTTATGGAGCCCCAAAGATCTCACACATTTTTATGATGGGCTTCCAGGGACATCAGATAGAACAAAAATGGATGTATCATACACAAAGCACACCCTTGTGCTATGTAACAACCAGGCTTCGGAGCCAATCCCCACCCTGGAACTTCTTTTTTTTTTGTCTTTTTCATTTTTATAGGTACCAGGGATCAAACTCACGACTGCCTGCTTGCAAAGCAGGCGCTTATGCCGCTGAGCTAAATCCTCCCCAGCCCACACCCTGGAACTTCTTGGTCCTCTGGCATTCCTATACTAGAGAATCTGCCTGAGCATCATTCTGCTCATCTTCAGGTGACTAGCTCTGAACAAAGTCACAATCTTACCACTACAACTCGCCTGAGAGATACACAGTCACTCTTTTGCAGGATCCTTGATGACTCCAGGTGGGATCTGGCCAGGCTTGACCAACTCACCAAGGTAGGGCTCATCCCAGAGTGCAGCATATAAGGATGGCTACAGCCTGGGAGACTGATTGGAAAGGCCCCATAATTGCCCTGTCCCCCTGAATTGAAGCCCTGGGAGATCCTTGTTGCACTGGGTCACTTGGCTGCTCTTCATAGCCTCTCCAGTCCCCTGAGAGACACTCCATACACTCACAGTGTCTTTGGGGAACCAGAAAAGGAGGGTGGTTCAGGTGTGCCCCACCCAGTACCCTAGGGGCATGGCTAGGCAGGTGGCTGCCCTAGGGAACAACTGAGCCCTGAATACTAACCACAGCAGGCCAGTTGGCAGCTGTATGTCTGAAAGAGACCTCCCGAGGTAATACCCTTGGCCTGGGCTAGGGCCACTTGAGGAAAGGGACCAGAACCCATCCAAGGTGAGGAGAGAGCTGTGCCACATGGAATCCTACACAATGGAGTAGCCACTGCTTCTGAGAGAGCAAGAAGGGCCCCTTAAGGATCCTACACCACAGGTCCAGCCAGAGGTGCCTGACTCTGATGGCAGATGATGCTAAGGGCAGGCCAAGTAAACCAGGAGACCCAGGAGTTGAACGCTGGCTCCAGGCAATGCAAGACCTTCCTGCTACTGGACCTGGCCATTAGCTTGCTGGAAGTACTCCAGTTCCAAGAAGCCTGATCCCAAACTCCGGAGCATCTCTTCCAGTCTGCAAAACCAGTGAGGCAGGTAAGGGACCTCGCCATGGGAAATGGACAAGAAAGAGAGAAGTAGAAGACCATGAAAGGAATCAGAAGGAAGGATTAACTCTAAAAGAGGAACCTGATACGCTGCTTAAAGTGTTGGTATTTGTCCATCGTGGCTTTGTTTGCATTGATTTTTATTTTTTAATGTTTCACTGAAATATTACTTATCCCAGTTATTTGCACCAAGGCTAATGCTTCACTCGTTCATAAACTATTACTGAGGGCCAGGCCTGGGCATGCTGCCTGCCGGCCTGATCTGGGAAAGCCTGTCCAACAGTAGGGACAGACCCACAGCCTGTTTGAGGAGCAATTAACAGGGAAGGAAGATGCTCCCTCTGTGGGTGAATTCCCAAGCTGATCCCGCAGGTCCAGGGATACTGGTTGGTGATGGTAGCCTCCAGCAAAGGTAGCATGCATGGAGAGGAAGGTGTAGGCACCCCAGTGCCAGGGGCTCCTTGAGCATGGGCAGGGACTTCAAGGGAGCTCCTGGCCTTTGTCCTGCAGTTCCGAAGGAAGTGTTGGAGCAACTTAAGTGTTTTGAAGAAATTGGTTACAGATCTCAACCTGATATAAAGCCGTGTTTGAGACAGGTGGAGAGAGGGAACAGCCATGTTCAGGGAGGTGGGGAGGAAGGAACACAGGCTCCATGGGGGAGACATGGTGACTAGATTCCAAGATTGCTGGGAAACTGGCAAGTGAATTAAATGCAAAGATTCAGGAGCACTGACTAGGGGGGACTGGACACTCTCATGGATTGTCTCTAAGCACTTAAGTGTAGCCACTGTAGCAATAGGAAACAAGTGTAAAATAAATTGTGTTTATCTAAAATGTATGATTCCACTTCTAGGGATTTATCCTGGGGTAGAGAGGGAGTGAAACCAAAGGTTTAAAAACCAGGACAGTTAACTCAGTATTAATGGAGAGGGGAAAGTGGAGAAACCTGGGCTGGGGATTTAGCTCAGCAGCATAAGCACTTGCACCTTGCAAGCAGGCAGTCGTGAGTTCGATCCCTGGTACCGATAAAAACAAAAAAAAGGGGGGGGGGGACCTTTGAATAGCCAGGAAAAGGGTGTGGAGGCACAGAACAGCACCTCCATCATAAAGAATCTTACACAAATCTACAAAATTCTGTTTCTGAAAAACAATATCTGGCATAAAGTTAATACTCAAAAAGGCTTTTTATTGTCACCAAAATAAAGACATCAGTTTCCTAAAACATGCTTCTGAAGCATCTCTGATATGGGGAAATCTATTTTTAAAAAAAATGCTTCCATTGTTTTTCTTAAGGTATATGTGCATTTTTGAAATATAGAACAATTCCAACAGTATATCTCTTGCTGGTGGGATTTCACTTAATTTTAATTTTAGCTTTTAGTATTCTGGTTTTATTAAAATGTTCACAAGAATTTTTTTCTTCAAAAATAATTGTAATTCAAAAGTAACACTTTATATAAATATGCATGTGCTTTTTGCATATATATATATATATATATATATACACACACATAAGCACAGAAGTATATAAAGAGTATACAAACATCTTTTAACATCTCTCACTTCTTTCCCCCAAAGCCTATTTCCTGGAGATGACCAGTCATGTTGCTCTATGTACTTAGACTTTTTTCTTTGTATGTGTCCCTGAAGACACACACATACATAATTGGTGTTGAAATTCTATTTTCAAAAATCAATCCATACTCTGCATTTCATCCTGCAACTAGCTTTTTAAATAACCTGTTACTGACATTTTTTATATTAGCCCATAGATATCTACTACCATATTCAGATAAATGGCTTTATAAGCAAAATTTGGATGAATCAGAATTTTGTATTCATTCACTTATTAATGGACATTTAAGTTGTTCCCACTAAAGTTATACAAGTAATCCCCTAATAGACATTCCCATTTGTGTGGGGGGGGGGGTGGGGGGGTAGGTAGGTCACACACACAAATGTGTTTAACAGGATAGAGGTTTAAAAGTGACATTTCCTGGTCTTAGAGAACACTTTTTCAAATTTTAAAGGTAATTCCCATAATTCCCCCAATAGGCTGTTCCAGTTTACACTTAGACAGTGAATGACAGTGCCCTCTCTCCTGCATCCTTGCCTAAAATATGATGTTTTTATCTTATTTTATGTTGCCTGGGTGTTGAGCAAAAATAAGATGTGATTGTTGTTTCATTATTTATTTGATGAAACTGTTTACACTTCCATGTGCTGTACTGACTGATTTTGTGCCTCTGTCACTTCACGGCCTCCTTGTCCATTCAGTTGCTCGGATTGTCTGTATCTAAGATGTTCTTAGTCTACTTGAAATATTAACCCCTTGTTTAGTTTATATGTTGCAGATTTTTCCCTGATCTATTTTATGTCTTTTGTTGTTGGGGTCTTTCACCATAAAGCATGCATTAATTTTCTATGTGTCATATTGGTTTAATATTTTCTTTATGCTTTCTGTAATTTGGGCCATACATAAGAAAATCCTTTTATTTCAATATTATGAATCATTTTCCTATTGTACTCCTATTATTTTGATGCTTTGTTCTGTGATTTTTTAACTTTATCTGAAGTTTATTTTTGTGTATATAGAAATATAATCTTACTCATTTTCTAAATAAAAAGCCAATCACATTTTAATTATAAATGTCATATCAAATGCTAAATGACTGATTTATTGAATTCTCTCTGTGGTTCTCTTGATCTGATGTTTTATTTCTACATTGTTCCACCCTGTTTATTTAGCTTTAAAGCATGTGCTGGTACCTGGTAGAGAAAGAATCTGTCATTATTACTATTTTCTAGAATATTCATGTCTATTAGCCATCATTCTTACTATTGAACTTTACAATGAATCAATTACCTAATTATGAAAAAATCATTCTTTTGCTATTGTGCTTAAAATTTCATGGAATGCATGATTAATTTGAGAACTCATGTATTTATAATATTCAGCATTTTCAGCCAAGAACACAACATCCTCTCAATTCACTCACTTTTGTGTCTACTAGTAGAGAAATGTTATATTTTACTCATGTAAATCTTGTACATTTTATGTTGTTTACTTAGAGGATATCTTTAACATAATTTTACTGAAGTTGTAAATTTCCCACCAATTTCATATCCTAAATGGTTGCTGCTTAGGTAACAAAAAACTTGTTAACTATTATACTGAGAAATTTTAATTCTTGAATGAGTTCTAATGCTTCTTCAACTTATTCTCTTGACTTTGTTTGTTTGTGTTGACTTTAGTAAACTCACTTGCAACAAACATTTCATCTCACTTCATTGGCTGGGATCTGTGGAATTTGTTGACTATTGAAAGTACGTGTAATCAAGCTCGCCTTATCTCAGAATTAAATGTTTGCCTTTATGCTTGGAGTTTGTTACAAATTTTGGAACATACTCTTTAATGAGTTGAGGAAATTTCCTTTAATAACAACAAAACATGGCATGTTTGTTGTCTTTATTCAGAAACAGGTGTTGGATTTATATTGCTATTTTATTAAATTCTATGTCAAGGGTCTTTTGTGCCTTTTTAAGTACAATAGCCAATTATTGTGCTGCTAAGGTAAAAAAAGTTGCTGTTTTCAATGCAATATGTATTTTTCTAATGTTAATAAATTGCCTTAGAGATAAAAATCAGGTTCCTTCCATCATCATTTCTGCCTTATGGTGAGACTTGAGTGCTTTTTCTTTTTCCTTTGGAGTATTTTGATGTTGTGTTATGTTGTGTTGTGTTGCATTATCTTGTGTTGTGTTAGACTGTCTCGGATACAGAGGGTGATTCAGTAGTGGTAACACATTCTGCAGTGACTCCAGGTCTCTGGCTTGGAAAGAAATTATTGAAATGAGGACAGTATAGAAGATCAATTTTTCAGAGAAATGAATTTGAGGTTCCAGTGGGATGTTCAAGCAGAGATAGGTTCAAAAGTCAAGATAAGGAGAAGGGTCAGGATTGTAAATAGGGATCTAGAATCTCTGGATAACAGTAGAAGTGCACAGAGAGAGTAGGGTACAGAGACAGTGGAGAAAGTACAGGGAAAGAAAACTCAAGTGTTGATCTCAGAGTCAGCAGCCATGCATGGGCCAATGAGAAAGAGAAACTAGGGGAGCATGAGAGTAGGTAGCCTCAATCACCAAATAGAGTAGTATGACCAAAAATGGCAGAGACATCTTAGTAGCAAGGAAGAACTGCAGATTTGACTGGAATAAGGATCTTAACTTGAGAAACTTCAGGGAAATATGGAATGAGAGATAGAGAAATCCTACCATACACCAGCATGCACAACACCTAACTTCACCTCTGCTGACTCAGTCCTCTTTTACCTGGTATAGATGGGTGCTTAATAGCCACTGTTGGGTGAATAGATGGATAAATGAATGGGTATGTAGGAAAAAAGACAATCAAACAGGCAGATGAATGCTGGATAGGTAGAAAAGAAATAAGTAAACAGACAGATGAATGGGTGTATAGATGGGTAGATAAGCAAATAGATGAACAGATGACTATACAAGTGGATGGATGGATAGATGGATGGATGGATGGATGGATGAATAGATTGGTAGATAAATTAATGGAAAGAGTGATCTGAGATACCAGAGAAGTTTTATGAATGAATGTACCTGAGTTACATTTCCACAAATGGAAATGAAAGTGGAGGAGTTTCCATGTAGTAGTACCTTGGGTCAGAGATTTACCTAGCACCTATTAGGGACCTCTCCTTTCTGATGGGAGCTTAGGGTTGTTGTCAGCACTAACAGCTTCATAGGAGAGGGGATGCATATGGCAATGGGTAGTGCCTGCCTGGAAAAGGAAACAGGTCTCTGGGGGGCAGGCCATCCCCTCCCCCCAAACACTGCTGAGGACACAGCCCCAGCCGTCATGCCTGGTAGATTCCCACTCGGGCCTGGCCCCACCCCCAGATGCTAGCCCCACAGGTTTTGGTCCGAGCCTCTGTCACTGTGGTTATGTGTTCAGCCATGGAACCTAGCTCACCATCCTAGGTAAGTGGTTCTCATGATCCTTCTCAGCTTGCCCTATTCCTTTTCTTTCTGGTGAAAGTCTGTTTTCTGTTTCTGGGGGTGTATTCCTCTCTGTCTCTGAGCCTGGAGAGGTGGGTGGTCCTAGGATAAACAACAGAAAGGGTGTTACCAGTCAGATATGGCCTGTTATGGAGAATTTAGATGGAAACTGTTTAGATATTCCCTTCATATAGGACAGGTGCCCAAGTAGGGTCAGGGAACAGGCCTGGCAAGGGGTACTCAGTGGCTGTAGAGACTGTCTCTAAAGCCTCCAGAGCCTAAACTGAGAAGTGAGTGCTTAGTCAGACAAGGAGTACACAAGAGGCCCACGGTCATGCCTGGAAGTTACTCTCAGTAGAGATAAAAAGAGAGAACTCACTTTCTCTAGGTTGCACTCTCCAGTCCTCTGCTGGTGATGAGGACACAGGGATGCACAGAAGTAGATCAGATTATATGAGGTGACCAGAGCCCAACATGGTCATCAGAAAGGAGAGGCCCATAGGTCAGACACTTGTCTGTTCTGGAGCCCCTTAATCTTGAACTCCAAGTCTCACTTGCTCATTAAAGACTCCTGGCTCCTTCAAAAAACACATTAGGCTCAAGAGATGAGTAACAAGTTACTGAGATAGGGGTTTCAGAAATTACTTAACTCCAAGGTAAAGTCAACATTCATCAGAAGCTACTGGGACATGGGAGAAGCTTCTGTGCAACACTGTCTGGAGGAGCAGCCCCACAGACACAGCCGAGGCACACTCCTATGATCAGATCAATGGGTATGCAGGATATAGACAAGAACTAAAAGACTCCTGGCTTGTTGAGAAAGAATATGTAGCTTACCAGGAGACCAGATTTTGGTAGAAAAAAGCTACAATATCTGGAGAACAGAAGATGCTGAGAACACTCTCAGGTACTGAACATAGATGCAGAGTCTCCCAACAAATTCCAGACCTAATTGCAAGGATGCTTATAAACATTCTGAGCAGAGATGAGGCACTGGACGGGAGAAAATGACGTGCATTGGAGGCATTGACTGGGGTGAAGTGCCAGAAGCTAAGGGCAAGATTCTAAAACCAGATTTCAGACATTAAACAGGAAAGATGACAGAATACCTCGGTTAGAGACAGCAAACTAAGGCTGCAGAGGCTGCCAAAGGAATGGACTGGGACTGGGCATCTGAGAAAAGCAACTTGGGAAGGATTTCAGGAAAGGTCAAAGGGGGGCTAGTATCTAAGGATGTTGGGTAGTCAGTGGAGGAAGCTGTCAAGATAGACAGATCATCTCAATAGGTCAAATACAGAAAGTTTCTGTAAATGGATCCAAATATCTACTTCACCTTTGCTGACTCACATTCCTCTTGTAGTGGCACAGGTCAGCCCAAGTCTGCCCCCACAGTCAGCCTGTTCCCGCCCTCCTCTGAGGAGCTCCAGGACAACAAAGCCACAGTGGCATGTCTCCTGAATTCCTTCTACCACAGCTCCATGAAGGTCAACTAGAAGGCAGATAGCACCACCATCACACAAGGCAAGCAGAACACACAGCCTTCAAAACAGAGCGACAACATATACATGGCCAGCAGCTATCTGACCCTGACTCCCGACCAGTGAAGCTCGCACCGGAGACGCAGCTGCCAGGTCGAACACGAGGCAGACAACGTGGAGAAGAGTGTGGCCCCTTCAGAGTGTTCCTAGGACCCCTACCTCAGCCTCTCTTCTGGGGGCTGATGTAGAAGGACTCTGAGTAACAGTCCCCTTTGCTGCCCCTCCCACTCCTGACATTCTCTTTGAACCATTATTGCTCAATAAACTGTCCCTTGTGGATCAGAGATCAGTTTTGTCTCATTTCTTTCACTTGTGACTTCATTTTCAAACACCTCACGGTCCTCCAGTAGGAAAGTGGGTACCACTTGAACCATTGTATGGTGCATCACCATGGAAATGCTCATCTAGACATCTCTTACCCTAAATCTCCACTGTATCCCAAGGTGCCTGATTACAACTCATGTGTCTCATGTGTTCCTCAATTGACATTTCCTCCACAAGGACGCAATCTCCATTCATGCAATATTTCCCATAAGTCATTGGTAACCAGTCACTCCTCTACTTTGAAGGGTCATTACTCTGGGGTAGAAGCAGTTCCCATGTGACAAGCCACCTCACAGTTGACTCATCCCTCTCACTCCTAAGTTAAGTTCCATTAGAGGGTAGGAATGGGATACAGCAGAGTAAACTGTTTCTGCCATGGGGCCCTGCTATGGGAAGAGAAGGGGGACCACTAGGAGGGAAGGTAGCTGGCCATAGGACCAAAAAAGAGGGAAATTAACAGGGTCTCAGGAGCCCTGTTTCAGGCTAGAGGCAGAAATGTGGAGAATTCAAAGAAGGCACGTGAGACCAAGCAAAGGATTTTTCAGGAAAAGAGCCTTCTCGTTCAGCTTTCATCTGAGGGATCTAGTCAGGAGATCACTTATCAATTAAGGGGTCCAAAGTTTCCCATCAAAGGGAACTATGGGAAGGCACTGAAATTGGAACCTGCCAGTACATTTCTCAGGCTGTCAGGGTGAATGCTAGCTAAGTGAAGATACACAATAATTCTGGGGTCGAGACACAGTCATGTGAAGAAGCCCAGTGTGCCCATCATATGTTAACCATCTCCTTCTCTTGTGGGCAGTCTCTACTTGTCTGAAAGAGACCAGTGTTTCACACAGCTGTTCAGGGAAACGTGGTCTGAGGCAGAGGCACACAGAGATGATCACTGTATGTCCAGATGGATGTGCATCAGGTCCCCATACAAGGTTACCAGTACCCTGAGGCTGTGAATTCATCCATTAAAGAGCAGACCACTAAAGCCAGAAAACAAGATGAGATCACTTATGATTGGATCATGGCTACAGCCAGGTGAGGATCAGGCTGCATGACAAGGAAACAATGAGTAAAATCAAGCAAAGGAGAAAACAAACCAATCTAGGCACAGAATAGACATCCATTCATTATCTGAGGGAGGCTGTGTGAGAGTCAGGGCTGCACACAACGACTAGACTTGGGGCAGGGTTAGACAAGACCATGGCAGGGCGACTGTGTCAAGAGAGTTTCAGAAACAGTCCAGCTTTCAGGAAGCTGCAGACCCAGACCTCGATCCCACTAGCCCAGACTCAACCACTCTCATGTGATTGACACACCCCTATGTGTACTGTCAGCCTAAGGTCAAGACACACACTCACGCTTCTGTGCGGGGTGACCCCCTATATGTACGGCCTGAGTGCTATTTCTCAGTCTCTGGGCTAGCAGGGCTCACTGACTGCCATCTCTGTGCATTCAGCTTTCTAGCCATGTGGTAGCTGTGTTCATCAGAACTGACAAAGAGCTAGGCCCAGGCACAGACAGGACATGAAAGGACAGGGAACACTTCAGTAATAGCAGAGAAGACGATAGGTCCCTTCCATGTTTGTTATGGCCAAGAGTTCACCACGCCCAGCCTCTCAATCAGAAAGCAAGTGAGGGCTTCAAATGTCCCTTAGCACTTGTCTGACACCAGGTCACAAGTCTGAAAGCTCAGACCACACAGAACCACAGTACTGCACCCGGGATCACTTAACAGGATCCATTCTGTAATCAAGTACTGAACCAAGACAAAGTTCTCCTTGACTTTATCATAAACATCTACATTGGAAAAATTTCAAAACAAGCAAGAGATGGGGGAATACCAGAGTCTTTCATGGTGCCACCAACAGCTGTCAAAATAATGAACTTCTTTGATATTTTAATTCACCCACATCAGAATGACTGTTCTTTTACTCTGTACTTTGAACAAGTTCCAGATATCATTTCTTTTGGTTTGTTTGTTTGCTTGCTTTGTTTTGTGCTTGTTGTTTTATTTTGTTTTGTTTGGTGTTTTGGTATCAGCAATGGAACTCAGGACCTTGCACTTACCAGGGAAGGACTTGAACCACTGAGACTGTTCCCCAGCCAACATTGCTTCTTTCCATCTGAAATGTTCCACTGCCTTCCTAGAAAGATGATGACATAACTACAATATGATTTCCAAATCTGAGAACAAATTACCAGTAATAACTTAGTATGTAAATAAACAAAGTTTCCACAAATATCTTAAGAGTCTTAGGTTGGTTTACAGTGTTATTTAATTGTGAATATCCCTTTCTGGGTAGAAGATGAAATGACACGTCAAATTGTCTTTGCTGCAGATGTTCTCAGCCTGATTTCCCCTGCTAAAATTCCCAGCCCACTTTCCTAGCTCCTTGCCAGATGGGTTCTCCAGAAACCAAGCTGCTGGCCCCGGGAATGTCGATGGTCACTGCACGGAACATGCACTTAATACACTGAGCCTGAATGCTTCCCTCTGCTTCTCCTTTTCCTTCAAAGTAGTTCTTCCACAGAGAGGGTGAAAAAGGCACAGGTAGATTCCAGGGAGGCCATTCATTTACCAGGACAGGGGGCTCCTCCAAATGAAGCATTATGCCCTGAGGCATCTCCCAGTGAGGTTTCCTGACAGTCATGCAAGACACACCAGTCCAAGGGAGGCTGCTCCCAGCACAGCTGCAGCTGGGGGTCAGGGAGGGGCAAGATCGGGAGAGGTTTTTGCACCAGTCTGTATCACAGTGTTGGGTGTTCGGTGGAGGCACCAAGCTGACCGTCCTAGGTAAGTGACCCCTTCTCCTTCTCTCTTGGTGCACCCATGATTTGAGATAATTTTCTGCTATTTTGTGAGCTGCTTCTGTGCTTACTCTCAGCCTGGAGCAAACTTTCTCCCTGCATTTTGGCAGTGATTGCTGACCACTTCTCTCGGTGTTAAGACCTTCATGGTTGTGTTAGCTGGTCATCAGCACTCCTTCCTGTATCACCTCAGTAGAAGGGACTGAATGGTTTGACCAGCTAAGACTCATATTCCTCTGTTGGTCTGTCTGTCTGTCTGTCTCTCTGACTGGCTATCAGTCTGGATGTCTGTCTCAGTAGGTGGGTATCTCAGAAATACAATTTTCTGCCATCCTTTGTTTAATATGTGTCTAGTTGTCTAGCTAATGAATTTTCCCCAGTGAGATTTCTGAAAGGGTTTTCTGTAAAAAACAGAAAAAAAGGGGCAGTGAAGTTTTAAACACTGGTGAATTTAGAAAGACTTAGCACACTAAGAGCAGACTTTATGAAACCTCAGGTTAGAGGCTTCATCTGGTCCTCCTGTGCTGGCAGCTAAAGAGCCAGGATCAGGAACAAGGTGACAGATGCAAGTGATCCCAAAGCCTCATGGGGATCAGAACTCTGAGCCCACCTGGAAATTGAGAAACTTAGCAGAAAGATGGGAGAATGCTCTAGACTTCAGGAAGCAAAAAAAGAAGTTATAAAAGAAAAGGATACAATGGGGAAGTTTGCTTCTCGAGCTCTGTGAGATACATTTCTCAGAAGAACCTGTCCCTGAGTTTACCCATGAATAGATGCCAGCTATCCAATCTACAGTTTTATCTCTCGCTCCCTCTATTTCACTCTCTGTGTACCCTCAATACAACTCACAACCACACACTTGGCAGACACGTGACTCATATTTAGACAGGATTTAGGGACATCTTGCTCAGAGATGAGGTATTGGACAGGCAGAAAATGAGCCCAACAAAACTCATGATCTAGATGAAGTCCTACAAACTAAAGGCAAGATTCTCAATTCAGACTCCCGAGAGCAGAAAGGACATATCACAGCCTGCTCAGATGACATCCAGGAAACTTAGGCTGCAGAGACTACCAGAGGAAGGCAGTGGTCCTGGTCATCTGAGACAGGCAACTTAGAAAGGGCTTCGGAAAAGGCCAAAGACTGGCTGATATCTAAGGATGTTGGGTGGTCTGTGGAAGGGATGTGAAAGGAGACAAGTGGTCTCAATAGGTCAATCACAGAGAGTTTCTGTAGATGGATACAAATATCTACTTCACCTTTGCTGACTCACATGCCTCTTGTATTGACACAGGTCAGCCCAAGTTTGCTCCCACAGTCAGCCTATTCCCACCCTCCTATGAGGAGCTCCAGGACAACAAGGCCACAGTGGTGTGTCTCCTGAATTCCTTCTACCCTGGCTCCGTGACAGTCAACTGGAAGGCAGATGGCAACATTATCACCCAAGGTGTGCAGACCACACAGCCTGCCAGACAGAGCGACAACAAATACATGGCCAGCAGCTACCTGACCCTGACTCCCGACCAGTGGAGGTCTCACCAGAGAGTCACCTGTCAGGTCACACATGAGGCAGGCAACGTGGAGAAGAGTGTGGCCCCGTCAGAGTGTTCTTAGCACCCCAAACTCAGGCTCTCCTCAGGGGGCTGAAGTAGAAGAACTCTAAGGAAGAGTCTCTTTGCTACCCACCCCCCACTCCTGACTTTCTCTTTGAACCCATTATTGCTCAATAAACTGTCCCTTGTCAATCAGAGGTTCAGTTTTGTCTCATTTCTTTCATCAATGACTTCATTTTCAAACATTTCATGGATCTCCAGTAGGAAAGTGCGTACCACTTGAACCATTGCATGGTGGATCACCATGGAAATGCTCATCTTGACATCTTTTACCCTAAATCTACAATGTACCCTTGTGGCACCTGCATTATAACACATACCAGACATGTCTCATACACCCCTCAATTCTTAGCTCCTCCACTTGGACCCAATCTCCTCTCACACTGTATGTTCCCTGTGTGCTTGGTAACCAGTCATGATTCTACTCTGAAAAGCCATTTTTCAGGAGTAGAGGCAGTTCCCCTTTGAGATGTCACCTCCCAGTCACCCCATTTTTCCCATTTTTAGGGTGACTTTGCTGAGATGCTAAGACTGGGGTCCAGCACAGTAAACTGCGCCTGCATGTGGCACTATTATGGGAAGGGAAAGGAGACAACCAAGAGGGAAGGTAGCTGGCCACAGGACAGAAGTAGAAAAAAATTAAAGGGGCCTCAGGAGCCCTGTTTCAGGCCAGAGGCAGAAATGTGGAGGGAAGAAGCCACTTGAGGCCAAGCAAAGGATTTTGCAGAAAAACAGGCTTCTGTTTCTGCTTTTATCTGAAGGATCTGGGCAGGAGATCACTTACCAACCAAGAGGTCCAAGGTTTCCCCTCATCAGGAAATAACAGGAAGGCATGAAAATTGGACCCTGAAGTGTATTTCTCAGGCTGTCACAGTGAATGATAGCTATGTGAAGGTACACAGTAATTCAAGCATATTGAAACAGTCAGTATGAGGTAGACCAGAATGCCCACTGTATGTTGAACATGTCCTTCACTTTTGGGTATTAGGTAACTGCCACAAAGGGACCAGTGTTTCATGCAGCTGTTCAGAGAAAAGTGGCCTGAGGCAGACAAACACAGATATGATCACTGAATGTACAGATAGATGTGGATCAGGAACCCATACAAGGTTACCAGTACCATGAGGCTGTAATTTTACCATTTAAGGAGCAGACCACTGAAGCCAGTCCACAAGATGTGATAATTTATGATTGGATCATGGCTGTGACAGGTGGGGATCAGGGTGCATGACAAGGAAGGCATGAATGAAGTCAGGCAAAGGAAAAAAAGACACCAATCTAGACACAGAATGGACATCCATTCATTATCTGAGGGAGGCTGTGTGAGAGTCAGGGACAGACAACAAGGACTACAGTTGGGGCAGCGTTAGAGCAGACCATGGCAGGGTGACTGTGTCAAGAGAGCTTCAGAAACACTCCAGCTTTTAGGAAGCTGCAGACAAAGACCTCCATGCTATGGGCCAAACTGACCCAGTCTCGTGTGGCTGACACAGTCCTATGTGTCCCTTCAGCCTAAGATCAACACACACACTCAGGCCCCTCTGGGGGGTCACCTCCTACATGTACAGGACCTAGTTCTATTTCTCAGTCCTCTGGGCAAGCAGAGCTCACTGACAGCCATCTCTGTGCATTCAGCTTCTGAGCAACATGGTATCTGCATTCAGCAGAGGTGATGAATAGCCAGGCCCAGGCATGGACAGGACGTGAAAGGAGAGGGAACACTTCAGTAATAGCAGAGCAGAAAAATAGATAAGTCTCCTTCCACGTTCATGATGGCCATGAGCTCACAACCTCCAGCCCCTCAATCAGAAAGCAGATGAGGGATTCAAATATCTTCATACATAACTGACACCAGGTCACAAGTCTGAAATCTCAGACCACACAGGACCATAGCACGGCTCCCGGGGTCAGTTACCAGGATCCATTCTATGAGGTATTGATCCACGATAAATTTCCTTTTGAAACTATCATAAATTTCTACATTGGAAAATTTTCAACACGACCAAGAGAGAGGGAAATAACAAAGATTTCAATGGTGCCATCAAATTTAACAAATTTTTTATTTATTTTGCTACTTTAATTCACTCAGAATGACACCTCTTATTCTTGATACTTTGACAAATCTGCCAGACATCATTTCTTTCCACTTGGAAGTATTTCACTTCCTCTGGATAGATGACAGCGTAACTATAACATGATTGTCATACCTATGGACAAATTATCAATAACAAGTTAATATACAAATAATCCAGCTCTGCACAAATGTCTCACATGTCCTAAGGGTCTTCATTGATTGTGTTTGTAGTGTTGTTTCTCTGTGGATGTAACTTTCTGGGTAGGAAGATGATATGGTATTTCAAAAGGTCTCGATGCCAGTGATCTAGACCTGATGTCACCTGTTAAAATTTCCAGCCTGCTTTCACAGTTCATTGCCAGGTGGGCTTTCCAGAAACCAAACAGGAAGTCTTGGGAATGTCCAAGGTCACTGCACAGCCCTCAACTTCAGTGAACTCTCCCCACATGGTGCTCTCTGCTTCATCTTTTCCTTCAAATTGCTTCTTCCTTAGACAGGACTAAAAATGTACAGGGAAATTTCAGGGAGGCCATCGGTTTACCAGGACAGGGGGTTCTTCTAAGACAGTCACTATGTACATGTGTTATTTCAGAGTGACTTTACCTATAGTCATGCAGGACACACAAGTCCAAGGGAGGCTGCTCCCATCGCAGGTGCAAATGGGGGACTGGAGGGGGGAGGTGCACAAGGCCAGCAGAGGTTTTTGCAAAAGTCTGTGTCACAGTGTGGCGTGTTCGGTGGAGGAACCAGGCTGACGGTCCTAGGTAAGTGACTCCTTCTCCCTCTCTCTTGCTGCTTCCTATCGTGTGACACAGTTTTCTGCTGTTTTGTGAGCTGCTTCTATGATGAATTTCACGCTTTGGGTTGATTTTAACACAGCACTTGTCTGTGGATACTGACTTCTTCTCTCACTGTTTAGCCCTTCATGTGTGCCTTAGCTGACCATAAGTACTCTTGCCCTCTCATTTCAGATGAAGGGACTCAACAGGATGACCAGCTAAGATTCATCTGCCTCCGTCTATCTCTCTACCTATCTATCTGTCAGTCTCTCTGTGTGTGTGTCAGTCTGTCTTTCTTACTTGGTATGTGTAGGAAAGATGTAGTTTGCTAGCCTCTTTCCTTGGCCATGTCTGCCTTTGTATCTGCGAGCTTTGTGTAGTGATCATTCTGATGATGTAGCCTGCAGTTTTATCACAGGAAAAACAGGAGAGAAGGGTCACTGAAGGTCTAAACTGCTGAATTCAGAAAGACTAGAACAGTAAGAACTAATATTATGAAACTACAGGTTAGAGGATACATCCAGTTCCCTGTGCAGGCCACTTAAAGATACATGATCAGGAACAAGGTGATAGGCAGAAGGGATCTCCATGCCTACACATGGATGAGAAATTTGAGCCAGCATAGGAAATAAGAAACAAAGAAGACAGAGAGGAGAAACCTCAGGACCTAAGGGAGACATGACAGGGGAGATTCAAAGCTACACAAGTTTGTTCTTGGATCTCTGAACACTACACTGCTCAGAAAGACAATTCCATCAGTTTACAGATGAGCTGGGGCCACATATCCAAGCCACAGGTCTGATACGACATGGGAGTTTGAAGCATCTTGTTCAGGGAGGACTCAAGGACAAGCCAAAGTGAACTTCACTGGAAGCCAGGCATGGGGTGAAGCCTGTCTTTTTGATGGGCAGGACACTGGGGCTGCAGAGGCTGCCAAAGGAAGAGTGACATCACTCTAGGCAACCTACTGGAAGGGTTTCTATAATGGTCTCATCTAGACTACTGTTTAAGGTACTTGAATAGTCCATAGGGGACGATTTCAAGGAACTCAAGATGATCACTATAGGAAGAGTCACAGAGACTTTGTGTGGGTGGATTCCAAACATTATTTTTACCTCTTCTGACTCACATTCCTCTTGTATTGGCACAGGTCAGCCCAAGTCTGCCCCCACAGTCAGCTTGTTCCCGCCCTCCTCTGAGGAGCTCCAGGACAACAAGGCCACAGTGGTGTGTCTCCTGAATTCCTTCTACCCCGGCTCTGTGAATGTCAGCTGGAAGGCAGATGGCACCACCATCAACCAGGGCGTGCAGACCACACAGCCTGCCAAACAGAGCGACAACAAATACATGGCCAGCAGCTACCTGACACTGACTCCCGACCAGTGGAGGTCTCACCAGAGAATCAGCTGCCAGGTCAAACACGAGGCAGGCAATGTGGAGAAGAGTTTGGCCCCTTCAGAGTGTTCTTAGCACCCCGACCTCAGCCTCTCCTCTAGGGGCTGAAGTAGAAGGACTCTGAGAAAGAGTCTCCTTTGCTACCCCATCTACTCCTGACTTTCTGTTTATACCAATTATGGCTCAATAAACTGCCCCCCTTTCAATCAGAACCACTGTTTTGTCTCATTTCTTTCATCCATGACTTCATTTTGAAACATCTCATGGCTCTCCAGTAGGAAAGTGGGTAACATGTGAATCATTGAAAGGTTTATCAGCATAGGAAGTCCTCAGCTAGACACCTCTCACCAGAAATCACTGTACTCCTGAGGCACCTACCTTGCAACTCACACGGGGCATGTCTCATATGTTCCTGCATTCTTACCTCATCCATAAGGACACAATCATCTACCATGAAATTTTGTCCAACATCCCTTGATAGCCACTCACAACACTATTCCTAAGGTCATGCTCTGGGATAGGAGCAGCTCCCATGTGAGATGTCACCTCCCAGTCACCCCTGCACTACTATTGCTCAAGTGAGTTCCCTCAGCTGGAAGGAATGGCATCCAGCACAGTACACTGTTCCTGCCAAATGGCCCTGCTAAGGGAAGGGAAGGAGTCCTGCAAGTGGGAAAGTAGCTGGCCATATTACAGAAGGAAAGACAAATTAAGAGAGTCAGGGGAGCCCCATTTCAGAAAAAACACAGAAATGTGGAGGAAAGAAGGCATTTGAGACTTAAAAAGGATTTTGCAGAAAAAATTCCTTCTATATCTGCTTTTGTCTGAGGGATCTGATCAAGAGATCATTTATCAGCCAAGGGATCAAAAGTTTCCTATCATCAAGGCT